GGATCACTGGCCATCTGCTCCAAAGGACTGATATTCTCTTCTTCCCATGCCAATTTCTCGTTGAATTCAAGTAAATCAAGAGCCAAATCTAAAATATCAGCAGAAAAACATTAACTATTTTATCTGAGAAAAATTACGGTTTTCAAGATTATTTTTCTGTATAAATTGATACATCACAACATCAAATCCACATGACCTCCCATGCGTTTTGATATATTAGTTGATCAGCAGGTGAGCTAAAGAAGTTGGAAGTGCTAGAATTAATCTTACCATAAAATCCTGCTTTTATTAAAGATTTCATAACACTCGAACCAACACCAGCACCAGCTTCTCCGTGGAGTAGCTTGGAATGATTGTCATCTTCCTTGCCGGCTTTAAACAACATAGAAGTCATGCTGCGAGCAATTGCTTGTTCTCGCCTCGCAGCTAATTGAATTGGCAAAAGTCCCTCTTTGTTTTCACAATTCAGCAATCCGGGACATTTTTTCACAAGTATTTTGGCATCTTCAACAAGTCCAACTTTTGCTGCTAAGTGAAGCGCTGTATTCCCTAAGTTGTCAGTCTCAGCCAGTAAATCTGGTGCAATCTTTTCCACCAGCTTGTTGACTAACCCCTTTTTAGCTTCATTGACGGCCGAGAGGAGCAATGTTTCTCCATTTTCATTTAGCTTGGCTGTAAAAACTTCATTTTGATGGTCGTGGATTATTCGTTCGATATTCTCCCATTTGCCTTTTTTTAATGCTTGGTACAGATCTTGTTTCCAAGTATCTTCCACAACTGCTGTTGCTGTGACTGCTGCGCCATCTTCTTCACAATGGATCTCCTAACTCTGTATTCACAGTGTATTTGCTATTATCTCTAAAACTAACCCCTCCTTTTATAGATAGACTACACTTGCATTTGACTCTACTATATTATTGGTGGCAACTTTAAAAAATGTTGAAACTTGAAGTTTCCACAATTAGGATTTAGGAATGGGCGACTTTTTTGTTTTTCCTTTATTCTTTATTCTTTATTCTTTATCCTTTTGAATGATGATTATAATTGAAAAAAAAATTAATTTTTTATTCAAACCTACAATTTTTTATCAATTAAGAACGACGCTAGCACATATTTTACTTAATTCAACTTGATACCCGAAAAATATGTTTTTATTTCATCTTCGTTGGCACTACTTTCATCTTCGTTGGCTGAATTAACATGAAATTTATGTGAATCGTAATGTAGTCACATGAAAAGAATGTACAAGTTAAAGTGCAATGTCTTTTGTAACACAAACACAATCATGTTTTAAGTGCATGCTTGTCCGAGCATTAAAAAAGAATTATATTAGTCTTAACGGTATTAAGTACATATTTATGTTGTAATGGAGATCGCTGTCATATTTTACAATCAATAAAATTATATTTCAACTTTAATGGACATTATCATAATAATCTCACTGCCACATAGACTAGTGTATAACATCGTTGGACATATACAACATCATTGTTTATAAAATTATTGATCTTTTTATTGAAAAGTAAATAAGTTTAAAACAAATAATTCTTTTTCAAATAAAAAAATGAGTTAATCTAAAAGTAATCCACACTTTATTGACATAACAGTTTTTTTTTTCAATTAAAGAACGTAAACACATTTGGAGACAAAAGATATCGTATTTGAAACCGAAGTTTAGATTACATTCTTTTCTGAAAATTTGTACTTCGAATTGATGGAAAAGTGCTAGAATCGGAACGACTTAGGGAGCAAGAAAAGGAATAACGAAGCTTTATATGGATAGATTTAGGCAACACGTTTGGTATTTGAATATTTTTTTACATTTTAAAGAAGGATGATATGGGTGGATTTAGGCAACAAGTTTGGTATATGAATATTTTTTTTCTCTTTCTTTNGTTTGGTATTTGAATATTTTTTTTCCCTTTTAAAGAAGGTTGATATGGGTGGATTTAGGCAACAAGTTTGGTATTTGAATATTTTTTTTCTCTTTCTTTATTATTTCTTCTTCTATTCTAACTACTTCTAAGCCCATGTGTTGCATATGGTATTGGCATTAATGTGTGAAATATGCACCTATGAACATCCAAACACGAATTGTACTTATTTTGAGTATGAAATAGTATAGCAATTATTGTCGATGCAAAGTTTGTAACCTAGATATAAAATACTACATTAAAGTTTCTGAAAATATAGTCAGGTTTAGTTTTTTTTGTAGCAGGATTTATATTAAACTTATTTTTCAGAATATAAAAAGTTACATCAATACACTAATAAACAACAGAATACGACCGGATTGTGTCATTAAAATAAAAAAAATAGTGATTACTGTCGAATTACTAATTACGAAATGGAGTGTCTTTTGGGTTTATAGGGGCGTGAAACAATTATACATTTTCAGATTATAAGACAAGTTACAACCAAACGGAAATAATGATTGAAATTTTTGGGAATTTCAAATATTGCCAAAAAATACAAAGGAATAATATGACAAAAATTAATAATTGGTATTAATTTTACCATATTGGGGGGTAATTGTTGACATACAAAAAGTGTAGCCCAAATTGAATAGTCTAAGGGATGAAGCCCAATTGGGAAGTCTATGATAAATGCCTAAATAGGACAATTGATGAATGCAGTCGAGACCCACGAATAAAGTACCATCATCGCCCAATCTTGTAAGACGCCCAGAATCTAAGCAAATTGAGTGCCTTACCCAAAGAGATGACCCTATTCTCGCACAAACCTTCGAATCGCTCAGGATCTTAGCAAACATAAGATGTTATGGTTATTCAAAACAGCAGTTATTAAAACAGTTATTGAGCAATCTTATCATACTTCACGATTCAAGGATCTCAGTTGTAGACGGTTGAACGATAAGAGTAATGGCAACGGTTAGAGACGACAGTTCCACGACAAGTCAGCCATCATGAAGAAAGTGGGTAGTTATAGAGCAATCAAGCAGTTTCCAAACAGTGTGTCATGAAGAAATTATCAAGGGAGTATAAACAGGAGGAGAAAACATAGAGGAAAGGACCCT